AGCCACCTCCTCCAGCCACCCTCCCGAGAACCAGGGAGCCTCCTTATTTATTGCTAACCCCGCATCATATTACTTTAGGGGGATACATCACAGCATCATGCATCACAGAGAAGGGCGGTACAATTCATCTTGAGCAGGTTTGATCATTCTGGTGTCTCATACAATAAAGCAGGCAATTACTATCCTAGGAGGCATGCAAGCCCCCTGATAGCAGATAACAACCTACGTCATAGAGAGGGGTTGTAACATAGACAATACAAGCAATAGGAGGGGGATGACCTAGGGGTGAATGTGCAATAGTAAGAGGAGGAAATAGGGGGGCATGTGTGGCAAGATAGTAGCCTAAGCTTAGTCATCTTAGAATGGTCCCAGGCTTGCCTATGGGCACTGCTTCGAGGGAACAATAACAGAAAGGAATGGGCCCTATTTGTTGTGGGATAAGCAGTGGTGTCTGCTTGATCTAGACAGCTGATACCTCTCAGTGAGAATGATTCCCAATCCATTCTTGATGGTTGATGTTAAGGAGAATAACCTCTGACCTATTTTCGCTGCCTAATGAACAGTCATTCTCAAGCTAAGTCTGGCATATATTTTGGGGCAACAACTTAAGAGAAATCCTTCTGTTCCCCACAGAGTGGGTGGCCTTTTCGCATGGATACTGGGCAGGCTGTTAGGGGCTCAGGCCGCGCTGCAGGGTCAGGCTCCTGGAGCTAGACAGGGTGTCTGCAGCCACCCTTCCGTCCTGCTGTCCTGACAGCTCACTTCACACCAGCGGTTCCTGAACAGTTCTGAAAAGGAGAATACATTTGAATGCCAACACCAGCGAGACTTTACAAAGTCGGGGTTGGTTGTTAGAATAATAAAAGAACTGAGACTACCGTAGACTCCATAACACTGCGACACACTGGCATGCCGTGCCAACACGTAGCCAGTGGAAGAAATTGTTTCTCCTCCATGCAGGCGTGTGGACCCGGAGTCTGCAGTGCTCTTGAGACTGGGCTTCAGGGGCTCTGTAAGGACTTCCTGCCCCCACCCCTCCCTCCAGCCCCCTCAGCTCACAGTTGGGAACCCCAACCTCAGAACCGTGTTTCCCAAAGGAGTTGTGAGCGCTACAGGATAGGCTAGCACTCTGCCCCAAAGAGCACTCTGAGGTCAAGTCCACTCCTGGAGGCCTTCCCTGGAACATTCAGCTTCTGGGACTCCTAAACACTGTCACCGGGGAGCCCCCCTAAAGGAAATTCAGAGCCTTGAGCCTTGAACCATGGAAGCTCGTTTGCTGGTTGGAAGGTGGGGTGCTTCCTATTGGAAATGCCTCAGTGCTCACTTGAAGACCCCCCAAGAGAACGATGCTGCTCACAATGGTGCCTGCTCTTCTTTCCCAGATGGCCCTCTGCCGTTTCCCCCAGGCAACTCCGGCCTTTGTTTGGAGGAGGGGCATGAGTGGGCCTGCAGGACCCTGGTCCTTTGCCTCCAGCTGCTGGGCAGAGGGCACCTGCAGCCTGGAGAATGTGTCCTGGTTCCCTTACGGTCAGTTAGTGAGGACTTGCTCCCAGCATGCACTCGCAGGGAGAACCTCTGTAAGAAGCAGGTGTGGTGAGCCTGGTTCATGTGCAACCTTTCTTCCACCTCCCCCCAAGCCAGGTGGTGAAAGTGGTTCATGGACTTGGCTGCTGACTGAAAGGGCTGGAGGTTGGACTTCACCTAGGATAGCAGTTCTCAACCTGTGGGTCACGACCCCTTTGGGGGGATCGAATGACCCTGTCACAGGGGTCGCCCGATTCATAACAATAGCAAAATGACAGTGATGACGTAGCAATGAAAATAATGTTATGGTTGTGGGGTCACCACAACATGAGGCACTGTATTCAAGGGTTGCGGCATGAGGAAGGTTGAGAACCACTGCCCTAGGGGCACCTGGAAAGAAAGCCTGGTCAACTGCAGAAAGTCAGCCCCGGGGTCCCTCAGGAGCTCAGCTCCATCCTGACAGACCTGGTGACTTGCCAGCCACTAATGCTGGTGCTTCCCATGCCAAGGGGAGGGTCCTGCCTACTGCTTTCCAGAGGACCCCTCCCCACAAGTCTGGTGACTCCCTCTGCAACCCTCACTCATCCCCACCGGTGTCTGCATTTCTCTTTGCAGACCTTACAGCGCCCTCACGCTGCTTCTCAGGAGTCCTGCCCTCCCAAACCACCCCGGGCGCACGAGCTGAAACTGCTGGTGAAGAACATCCGGGCCTCATTGCTCGGTGACACTGGTGCCGCAGGTAGTGGTTGATGCTGCAGCTTGGCGGGTGGGTCTCTGCACGGGGTGGCGGTGATGTCTGGGTGCTGTGCAGCCTTGGTTGTTCCTATAGCCCCATGAAGACAGGTGAGGGGGGCCCGAGAGAAGAAAGACAATCCTTGGCGAGCTTGTCCTGTCGTCTTGCGTGTGACACACAGAGGCACATTAACATCCCTGCCAGACATGCTGCCCCTGCTTTGCCTAGAAATTGAGGCCCCCGTTGATCGGCTGGGTGTCAGGACAGTCACCAGGTCACCAGGGGCCTTTGGCACTGTGAGACCCGTGGTTGCTATTGGGGTAAGGATGGGTAGTGGGGGCAGACTCCCTCTTCCCAGTGGTTCTGAATTCTTGTTGAGACTCAGAAGGGGTATAGCCTGAGGAGGGTGATGTCGTTCCAGTCTGATTCATTTTTCCATGCATGAGGAGTCGTCATCATCATTTTTGTCTACCAGGAGAGGATGCCAGGGGCTATTTATTTGCAAGGAATTCCATTTCCTACTTCAAGCAGGACAGAGAGGTTTATGTTGCTGCTGGATGTGGCGGGGTCACGTCAACTCCCCGTGGCCCTGTGTCACATAGTTCGACACGGGACCCGTGGGGCTGTGGGCAGGAGCAGATGGCTGGGCCTCTCTCTCACAAAGTCACTAGGTCGGTTCCAGCCACCAGCTTTGGGTGAGCAGTGGAGCCCTTAACTATTCATGCCACCAAAGCGCCTTAGAAATATAGATAGGTCATAGTGAACAGCTGACACGCTTTAAGGCTCCATGGTAACCGGAGAGGGAGCCCTAGAGTCAGGTGGCTGAGACGGAAGGCCCAGCTCCTCCAGGTCCTGTTACCTCTGCCAGCATGTCCCCTGTCAGGGTCCAAGTCTCCCCTGTGAGATAATTGGGCAGGTTACGTTGGATCATGTGTGTCGAATACTTCACACTGCTTGGTGCATGGGCAACCAAGGCTTTGTGTCATAAGACAAAAACGTGGCTCACTGGTGAAATGACCCCTCTCTGGATCCCATACCCTAAAAAAGAGGTTTGGCTGAGCTGGAGCAGGTATAGATTTGAAACAGAGGCCTGGCCTTTGAGTCAGTTTTGACTTACAGTGACCCTGTATCTGTCAGAGTAAATCTATGTGCTATAAGGTTTTTAGTGGCTGATTTGGGGGAGGTGGTTTGCCAGGTATTTCTTCCAAGGTGTGCCTCTCAATAGCCTCGAATGGCCAACCTTTCTGTTAGGAGCCAAGTGCACCAATTGTCCCATCCAGGGTTGTCTGGTGTAAATACACCAGGGAAATGAGTTCCCTATGAGCCATACCTCAGTTTAGGAGCCATCCCAGAACCTTAAAACAAGTCCGTTTGTTGACAAGCAAGTCCTGGTCCTCTGCCCTGAAACTGGGGTGTGCCTCTGCTTTAGGGGATGGGCCTGGGGAGAGAGGGCATGGGTCCTCTCTAGCACGGAGGCTGTACTTGCAGCCAGTGTCCACAGTGAGGAGCAAGGACGCCTGTGGTCAGCCCCAGATTGATGCCATCAAGTGTCGGCAAGGGTTCTTCAGCCCCAACTGAAGGTGGACCTCTGGGAAACTAAGTGGAAGAGGGGAGAAAAAAGGAACCTTCCCGTGTGGGCAAGCCAGGACCTGAGCCTTCAAGTTCAACTTTTCTTTCTATGTTACAAAAAAACCCAACCAATGCGTTAGGGCAGTTAGACCAAGACCATGCCCCTTGTCTGATTGTAGGCCCCACCAGCCCCGTGTGCACAGCCCAGCTCAACCAGCCCGTTCAGAGGTTCTCCAGCTCCCCGGCGAAAACTGCTACTGACCTCACTTGGGAAGAAGAGTTCACCTTGTGAGTACAGCCTGCGATACGGTGGCTCGGGTTCCCACTGCACACCTCCCCTGACTGCCAAGCCCCGGGCTCCTTTTACACCACCGTGTTTACACCAGAAACCCAGCCAAGCCGAGGGCTAGATCGTAAGCGTGGAGGCAGCTATAAGTCAGAGGTGGCTTGCTCTTCTTCCTTTCATTGCGGGAAAAGTCACACCCAATCCCGTGGCATTAGGACCTTCACGGTGTTACAGAACTATCCCCGCTCCCTCGTTGCAAGTGCTCATTCCCCGAGTCCTCTTGTGCTGCCGGGGCAGAAATGCCCTGGCGGGTGCCTTTCACCACCAGAAGTTCATGTTCTCACAGGTTAGGGAAAGGCTGGACATCTGAATCCAGGGTGCTGGCTCGAGGGGACACTTATTCCTTCTGTTGGAACTGGGGGAAGGTCCTCGCCTCTGCTGAGCTTCTACGTCTGGGCCATCTTCCCGTGGTCTGGCCTCGCTCTCCCCTGATCTCTGCTTCTCTGGCTTGCTTGTTTAGCCTCTGCAAAATCCCCAAAGAGATGGACTCACAACACAGTAATCCTGACCGATTAATCACAACAAAGCCAGCCCATTCCCAAATGGCATTATAACCGCAGGATTTGCAACACGTATTTTGATGGGACACGAGTCAATCGATTACAAACACCCTGTGACCATCACACAGTCACTCCCTGTTTGCCCTCCACCCCACCCCACCCCACCCCAGTCGCAGCCCCTGGCAACCACTAATCTGCTTTCTATCGCAAAGGATTACTCTGGTTATTTCATACAAAAGGAATCACACCATGTGACCTTTTGTATCTGACTTCTTTCACTGAGCATAATGTTTTGGAGGCTCCTCCACATAGCGGCATGCATCACGGGAGGAAAACATGGCAGTCTTCTGGGAAGATTTGCAGCCTTGGCAACCCTGTGGGCGAAGTCCTGCTCTTTCCCGTCGGGTTTCTCAATGTCAGAATCCACGCAACGGCGGCGGCGGGCGGTTCAGAACATCATCACTTTTAATGGCTGAATAATATTCCTGTGTCTGGACTAGGCTACATTTTGCTTGTGCCGTCAACCATTGACGGGCATTTAGGTTGTTTCCACCTTTAAGGACGTGTGACTAATTGTGCCGAGCAATTGTGAAGGGGCATTAGTTTGCATTCCTGTCGTCAATTCCTTCCACGGAAGAAAGATGGGGCTTTCAACTCCCATACAGAGTTACCATCTCGGAAACCCCCAGGGGCAGCTCTACCCTGACCCTGTCTTAGGAGCTTGCTGTGGGGCAGCATCAACTCGACGGCGGAGAGTGTGGGGTTTGGGGCTTATGCACCAAACACCAAATCAGGGGCCAGCAAGTCAATTCTGAGTCATGGCAGCCCCCTTGGGTGCAGAGTAGAATGTCCTGGGGGGCTTTCAAGAATGTCACCTTTGGAAACAGATCCCCAGGTGTTTCTTCCAAGGCACCTCTAGGTGAGTTCATAGCCACACCCTGACATCACTGTGCCACCCCGGGCCTCTCCTGGAGTGGACTGGCTCGGTCTGATGGTCATTTGGTGTCTGACTTGCTGAGCGACTGTTTCTCTCAGAGTGTGCTCCGCTGCAATTGTTCCATTGTACATTTCCACCAGCACTGGCCGAGGGCTCGCGTTTCTCTCGGTCTTGCTCAACATTTGCTATTTCCCATTTGTTTTGTGTGCTTTGTATGGCAGCTATTCTAAACAAAACAACAACCACAACAACTCACTGACAAGTCCTTTATGACTCGTAGTGACCTTATAGGTTAGAGTGGACCCACCCTTTGGGCTTGGGAAGCTGTCAGTCTTTATGGGAGCAGAGAAACCTTATTTTTATTCTGTGGAGGGGGTGGTGAGCTGTCCCAAGGAGGTGTGCAGTAGTACATGATTGTGGTACAGATTTGTGTCTCCATAACGACAAAGTTGTGAAGCATCTTTTCTCGTATCCATCGGTCATTTGTGTATCTTCTTTGAAGAAATACACACTCAAGTCCATTGCCCATTTTAAAAATTTGACTTGGGTTTCTTTCTCAAAGTGGTTTTCGGCGTTGGTGTCTTCCTTGCCGACGCTGCCCCATGGCCTGTAGGGTAAGGTGACCAGAGACCCGCTTTTGGTGGGACAATCCCGATTTTTAACAATTTTTCCCACATCCCGCAGCATTTTTAAAAAGTCCCGATTTTTGGAAGGAATGCACGATAAGCTAGGGTACACAGTTTTCGGCTGCCATGTGGCTGTTTTGCCAGGATATGAGTTTTATCAATGGTGTCCCACTTTACCAGTGTTAAAATCTGGTCACCTTACTGTAGTGGTTTTAGCAAGAGAGGACTGCTGTTGGGGTTCCCAATGGCCATGAAGACACACTGCCACCCAGAGCAGAAGGAAATGGTTGATGGCAACATCTGACACAGGGAGAGGAGAAGAGGAAAGATAAAGTTCACCTACGAATAGTGAGGGCAGGATTCTAAATCAAAGAGCATTGCATTGAACCCAGTAGTACGTTAAAAATAATGTACCAAGACCAGTTTGATACATTGTAGGCACTTAAGTATTTATTGTCTCTGTAGACCAAAGGGGAAAATAATCGTATCATATCTGTCTATGACACATATTCTCTGACATGCAATGCTCATACCTAATCTTGATGTTTTTGATTCCAATACAATGCATAGCCACTTCTTTAATAAGACAAAAAAGTAAAAGAAAAAAGAAATAACATGCAAATACTAAAAGAACAGGTAAAACTGATCATTACTCGAAGATGATATTGTTGCCTATCTGGACTACTCTAGAGTGGTGGTTCTCAACCTTCCTAATGCCGTGACCCTTTCATACAGTGCCTCATGTTGTGGTGACCCTCCCACTTTACCACTGTCGTTTTCCTATGGCGATGAATCGGACACCCTCTGTGAAAGAGTCGTTCGACCCCCCAAAGGGATTGCGACCCACAGGTCGAGAACCACTGCTCTAGAAAATAAGCTAAAATTATTAAGGATAAAAAGTGCAGGATAGAAATAAGTAATATTAGAAAAACTAACAGAAATAATAATTCAGAATGTGACTGACTATAAAAATAGGGAAATCAATCACTTTCTAATGCTTAAAAAATAAACATTAGAAGAAGTAATGGAAGAAAATGTCATGTGTGTGTAAAAAAGTTTTATAAATTATTTATAAACTTCGGAAAGCTCAGTGGACATGTCCATCGAAGACTGACAAAACTTCTGAACTGGACATACCAAAACATTAACAATAAATGCCAAAAAGTTCCCGAAAAATGTTCGGTCCTAGAAATTGTTAGCAAGGCCAACTTAAAAGAAACAATTTGTTATCTTACAAATTCTTAAAGAATTAGATAATGGCTCATAGATAGGTGAATAGGAATAGCCATTTTGGAGAGTGACCCCATGTTTAAAAATCTCTAACCTGTGGTGTGTGTGTGTGTCTCCTTTGGCGAGGACAATTTCTTAAGGAATTAATCACACAACATACAAAGATACATATATGAGGAAAATTAAATCAGGTTGTTTGCGATTGTGAAACGTTAGAAATAACCAGCCCATTATTAAGGTTAGATAAAATGTCACAGGACCAGAGGGTTGTATCAGCTGGCCCTTGGGGATGATGTTGCTCTGTACGTACAGACATGAGAGGATGCGCATGATACCATAAGTTAAATAAATTTGGGGAAATTACAAAAGAGAAGAGCGGTATCTTCCATTTCTTTTATTCTGCAGTTTCTAGTGCAGTAGTTATCTAGCCGCATTTGGCTCTTTAAAGTTAAAGCCATAAAAAGTGAACAAAATTAATTGCGTTCTCGCATTACATTGAGTGCTTAGCAGCTATACGTGGCTAGTGGCTTATGTGTCTGCCCCCCCCCCCCCCTAAGCCCACTTCCATGGAATCACTCCGCCTCTTAGTGACCATGTGGACGATGTCCAAGACTGTAACACTTTCCAGGAGCAGCCCCCTCATTTTATTTACTGTGGAGGGGCCAGGGAGATTGAACCTTGTGGTTGGTAGCCCAATACTTGTTCACCGGCACCTGTACAAACTGTACGGCTACTGAACAAACCAAAGCCAGACTCACTGCCATCGAGTCCGTTGGGTTCCCTCTCGTCCAGGACCGGGCACACGGAGCACATCTCATCATTGCAGAGAGTTCCGGAAGGCTAGTCACTGAACCGTGGATCGGGATAGTTCCTAGGTGGGAGGTTGCGGGTACTCTACGTCCATGGATCGGGATAGTTCCTAGGTGGGAGGTTGCGGGTACTCTACGTCCATGGATCGGGATAGTTCCTAGGTGGGAGGTTGCGGGTACTCTACGTCCTTGGTTATGTTTCATAGAATGATGATGGCTGTGAGCTCCTGTCTGATAATCAGAAAGAACACTGTTTTGAAAACACTGGACTGCTTAGTGTTCACAGTGTTGCTTCTTTTCCACAGTGAATTGAATGCCAAGTCCAGGGAGTTACAGCTGCTGCTTTCAGAGGAGAGAGGAGCCTCAGAAGGTGGGTGCTGAGCAGGGGGCGTGGCCCGGGGAGGTGGGACAGTCCCCTGGACTCAGGCTTGGAGATGTGGGGAAAGTGGGGGGGCCCCTTCTTTCAACCACTCTGGGTTCTCAGGAGGGATTGTTGGGTGCAGAGCCCATTTCAGTTGTTTTGTTAACAAGGCCACACCTGGTGGGAAGGGACAGGCTCCACTGGCTGTTCCTGGTGAAATGAGCCATCGGGGCTACAAGGAGACACATCTTCTCGAGACAGGAAAGCAACCATTAAGAGGTGACATCATTCAGAGGAGGTGGACATTGGCGGTGCCCTCAAGTTGGTTCTGACCCCCGTGTCATGTGCAGAGTAGAAAAGGCTGTGACCTCTTAGAAGGAGATCGCCAGGCCTCTCTTCCGAGGTGCCTCTGGGCGAATGCAAACCATTAACTTTTCAATAATTAGTACAGTGCTTAATTGTTTGTACCACCAAGAGATTCATGAAACCATTTCATTTTATCTCAATGGGGTGGGGTCTTTATTAGTCTGGGTACTTTGGAGAAACAAATCCATAGCAACTCATGTATAAGAGAGAGTTTTATGTAAAGAAAATGTGCATCACGAAAACATCCCAACCCAATGCTGCCCAAGCCCACAAGTCCAACATTAACCCATTAACCGAACACCAGTCCACAAAGTCCTCCACCTCACAAAACAGAGGCAATGATGCCAACGGCAGGAGGAAAGCTGAGTCAGTGAACGAAGAAGCATCTCAGCACTAGCAGGGGTCTCCACATGGCTGCTCCAGCACCCAGGGCTGCATCGGGATAGATCCATGCGGCTTCTCCTTGGGGATGTCTTGTAGGAAATCAATCTTGCAAGCGGAAGCAGGGAACTGCTAAGGCAGCTGCATCCTGGTGCAACCATCACAAAATAAGAGACCTGAGAACTAGAAAGGCGAGGCTCACCACCCATTTATTCCTCCGCCTTTCAATTAGCCCCACATGTGATTATCGGCCGGGCTGGCACAATTAACTAACTCAATCCACCCCTTGCCAACCTGGCACCTGTATATAATTCTTAGCTTCACAATTGCAATTAACACCTATACCATAATCCTGTGAATTTTTTCCCCTACCTATGAAAGTTTGTAAGCCAACACTTCATGCCTTTATCTCCCCCAATTTTGGGTATCCAATTTAGGGTCCCAGCTCTGAAATGATAATTCCATTATCATCCAAAGTTAAACCCACTGCCAAGAAGGCCATTCCGACTCATACCCTCGCTATGTAGGGTTTCTGATGCAGTAAATCTTTACAGAAGCAGGCAGCCTCATCTTTCTCCTGCAGCTCCATTGGTGTGTTTGAACCAATGACCTTGCAGTTTTCAGTCCAACACCACCAAAAACAAAGCAAACACACCACCACCCAGGTTCTCCAACTCACAGGGCCCTTAGGAGACACAGCAGAACTGCCCCTGTGGGTTTCCAAGACTATACATCCTTCTGGGAGCAGAAAGCCCTTCCTTCTTTGTCCCCTGGCGTGACTGCTGCTGCAGCCTCCCGGTTAGCAGCCCATTGCTTGACCCAGTGCGGCACCAGGGCTCTGACAGCACCCCCTGGAGAAATTAAAAAACAAAAAGTAGTCTGGAAAACCAATGATTTCTGTTTCTTGTGATTGGCCAGATTTTTTTTGTGAGGCCATTTCCTTGATTCTCTGGCTCCAGTTTACTGTCATGAGCCAGGAGCTGACATTCCAGAAGGGTTGGGGGCTGAGCAGAGCAGTTCCTGGCCTCGCTCCTGCAGGCTCCGGCAAGATTCCATCCGAGTGCAGACGGATGGGACCAGCAGAAGTTCAAATTCAAAAAAATAGAAATCATTCTTCCCTGGAACTGTTGGTCTGATAGAATCCTTAAACCTTCTACCAGAAATATCACCAGAAGTCATTTTAAAACTAATTCATCGGGAGGGAGAGAAAAAAAATGAACTGATACCAAAGGCTCAACTAAAAAGAAAATGTTTTGAAAAGGATGATGGCAACATATGTATAAATGTGCTTGACGCAATGGATGGATGGATGGGTTGTGATAAGAGCTGTAAAATCATTTTTTAAATTTATTTTTTTAAAAAACCTAAACAATAATTTAGATTCAGTAGTGAAGAGGAAGGGGGAAAAGTCTGCCTTTAGCATTACGCTCTTTGAAGAATGATCTGGGATCAAATAGATCATGACAATTTGAAAGACTGGCTAGAGATGTAGCAGTGAGTTTATGTTCAGAGACGAGGGTGAGGTGTCCCTCAGTTGTACATGGAGAAGCTGTTGGATTGGGGGGTGTGGCTGTGCATGCAAGTAGTCACAACAACACTAACAAAATTAGTGTTCAGGAGGTCAAAGAATAATTCAAAACTTACCAGAAGTTGTGTAAACAACCTCATAATCCTGACCCAGACTCAACAGTTTTTGACCTTTTGCCCTGGTTTCTTGATCATCTCCACTTCCCCTCTCTCTCCTTCTCTGCTTGTACACACACGTATGCATACACACACGTAACACGCACACACACACATATATTTAAACCACTTGAAGATCAGTTGTATCCATTTGGGTGGTGCAAGCAGGTGACGACGGCTTGGTTACTCACCAAAAGGGTAACGGTTTGGGAACACCCGGAGGGTCCTCGGCATAAAGTCCTGGTGATCCAGCCAACCCGACGGCAAGCGGTTTGGGTTCTTGGTTTTGCATCCGTCATGGCTCTTCGCCTTTAAATTCCTTATTACATGCGTCCTCCAAAGGGCGTGCCCTCTGGCGGGTCCACAGTACAGTAGTCAGCTTCTTGAACGGATGACCCCCTTTTTCACCCAATCCACTGCCGGGTTTCTGTTTTTTTCTCGGGTGCCCCGCCATGTCCTTCAGGGCAGTTGTTTCCGCTCTGGCTTAGGTTAGGGTGTGGCCTGTAACCCTCTCCTCTCTTTAGCCTCCTTTCAAAACTCACTGCCCTCCCACCGATTCTGACTCAGAGGGACCCTGTAGAGCAGGGTAGACCTGTCCCTGTGAGTTCCCGAGACTGCCACTCTTTACAGGAGTAGAAAGCCCCATCTTGCTCCCTAGGAGCGGCTGGAGGCCTGAGGATTGCAGCCACTTGACCCGCAGCTTCTTGCCTTCTGTTCCGATACCGGAGTTTTAAACCTATCAGGAAACATGTGCCGCTAAGGCTCGCAGGACCCACCTCAGGAGTTCCATCCCGGTTGTCCCTGCTCCTTGGGTCCCTTCTCCCTCACGGATTCTTAATGCTGCTCTGGGCTTGTCTCCTGTCTCCTCAGGTGTGTGTGCGACGACGGTGATTCCCTTAGATTTATTTAAGAAGCAGCCGTCAGGACCTCAGAGCTTCACCTTGACTGGCGGGTCCTCCGTGGGCGGCCCGGTGGTGGGCTCCGTCACTGTGGAGGTACGGCTGGCGTTATGGCCAGGGGTCAGCTGAGTCACTACAGACAAGGGACATCTTCATTGACGTCTGTGCCTGATTCCTGTTCTTGCTGCCCCGTGACATTTCCAAGAGGAGAAAAGTCACTCCGGTCCCCGTGGCTGGACTTGGACAGAACAAGTTCTATGCCCCTTCCCCACCCATCTGCTCTGACATCATCTCATCATGCCGTTTCACTGGGCGCCAACCCGAAATGCCGTGCATTTGTACGTGCATCTCCAGGGTGTGTGCTCCTCATTCTGCGCGGAGCGTCCATGGTTGCGTTTGAGCCACGTCACCCTCTATCCGGTCTGGGGGGATCTGGGCATATTGAAAAGGGGCCGTGACAGGGCCTCTGTTGCTCAGTGCTCCCACAGCGCTGAGAAACAATGGGTTTTCTCCACGTCCAAGAGTGGAGACTGTGGCTCCAGGGGGTCGTCCTTCCTTGTCCGTTTCAGCGCGTGGGGGCTGACAGTCTGCCTGTGCATCGGGCTCAGTATGGAGGGAGTGTCTGTCTCCTCCCCTCCCACCCTTGGGTGTCTCTGGCTCTGATCTGTTTAGAACTCAGAAGAGATGAGGTGGAGAGCCTTGCCTACTTAGCTGTGATCTAATGAACCCAACAGAGAAAACGCTTTCTTTCCAAACAGGATTGTTTCCACTAGTGGAGTGGTAAGGAGGCCAACGCCTATTGGGGGAGGTGGGGAGGGGCAGGGACACACAATTCAATGTGTGTGGTCACTGTTGGCGTTAAGTGTCATGGAGTCCGTTCTGACGCCTCGTGACCTGTGTACGGCAATGGGAGCACGCACGGCTCGCTCCTGCACTGTCCTCATGGCTGTTCGTGTGCTGAGCCCGGTGTTGCAGCCACAGTGTCCACCCGTCTCCTGGAAGGTCCTCTTCATTTTGACGGACCCTCGCTAGCCTATAGGTTCCCAAACTTATTTGGCCAACTACCCCGTTTTCAGACAAAAAGATTACTCAACACCCCCCTGGCAAAGAAACCCGTTTGTACTATGGTCCATAATCAGGCTCAGGTGCTGGGATCTGTTTTTACAGTGCCCCCTGGATTGTTCCAGTGCTACCCACCCCCACCCCCACCCCCAGGGGGGTCTAGCACTCACTTTGGGAAACGATGCTCTATCCTATTGAAGAAGGACCTTCGATCTGTAACAGACATCAAGTCAAGTAATTTGGTAAGGAAGCCGGGGTTTGATGCAGCATAAGTAACAAGCTTTCTCTGCAGTTTTCTTATGTAGAACCCGGAGAGCCGAAGCCCTGGCCAGTCCCTGCCCCCGTTCCTGCTGCCAAGGTCGAGAAAGACCGTACAGTGATGCCCTGTGGGACTGTGGTCACCACCGTGACTGCCGTGAAAACCAAGCCTCGCTTTGACGTGGGGAGGGCGTCCCCGCTGAGCCCTGGTGAGAGCCGTGTGCATGCATGCGTGTGCTTTGCTGCAAACATCGAGTCCGTATGCTGCAGTACTGTGGATTCCTAAGAAAATATCGTGCCAGGCTTCACAGGAGTAGAATACCTCATCCTTCCCCTGGGAAACTGGCTGTGGGTTTCAAACTACTGACCGTGGGGTGCGCTGCCCCCTGCGTAACCAGCAGGCATTGCTAATGTCAGCAGTTTTGCCAGCGATGTAGAATGGAGAACACGGTTGAGGAAAGGAATTGATAGGAGCATAGGCCAGCTCTGAGCTGCAGTGCCTGAACTGTTGACTTGTGCAAGTTCAACTCAAGTGACTGGACACTGGTGACACAAACAAGGAGGATTGGTGACGGCAGATCTTCCGGTAATACGCATTCACAGGAGCAGAGCCACGCCCCGCCAGGTTAATGCACGTGAAACCAACAAACAGATCCACTGCCATTGGGTTGATTCGGAGTCAGAGTGACCCGACAGGGACAGAGTAGAGCCGCTGCCCAGGGTTTCCGAAGCCGTCAACCTTTGCAGGAGCAGACTCTCATCCAACTCAGTGGGTCTGAGCAGCTGAGTGTCGTGCAGGTTGCTGTCGCCAGCACCAGGGGGGCTGATGTCTGTATAAGCGGATGGTTGTTACGCTTGTCTAGTGTGTCTTGTGTAAGTATTGCGCAATACTGTTGTTTTCCTCTCAATAGATCCCCTTGGCACGGGTCTTGAATGCAAAGTAGGAAATGAAATTTCGGCTTAATTACAATTTAGACTTGGGCTCTGTTTTTGACCCTAATAAAGATACGACCGCTACTAACAGTAATAATAATACTAGACTAAGAAGGCCCGTTTCGGAAGTCTCAGGGTTGGCCATTGCCTTTACCACGGGCTGAGCCAACAGCGAAATAAGAAGCAGTCTTGCTTTCCTGCGACCGTGGATTCAGATAACGTTTGGGGTGCCGTGTGTAACTGGGGCCTTTGCTCGCAGAGTCGCCCGTGAAAGTGAAAGTGATTGAAAAGGACATCTCGGTCCAAGCCATCGCCTGCCACAGTGCCCCCGTCAGTAAGACCTTCTCCTCCTCCGACACAGGTAACAACAAGAGCACTTGCCTGCTCTACCTGCTGAACGCCTGCCAAGCTATTCACATGGCTATGGCCCTTTGGGAATTTAGAAATGTGTTTTGGGGTCTTGTGTTGTCTTAATGAGTGAAGAAGTAGAAGTAGCCGACTTATGTCAATGACTAGAGTGGTATCAACTTCCCCTCTTCCGTTCTGGGACACATGTTAACAAAGTAAATGCAATAATCTAACTGTTTGGTACAGTTATGGACACAGTAACAAGATCAGTGGTTGCCAGGTGTTTAGGGAGAGGGAGGGAGGGGAGGAATGAACAGGTGGAGCACAGGGTATTTTTAGGGCCCTGAAGTGATTCTGCGAGTCCCTGCCATGGTGGACGCATGACAGTGTGCATTTGTCATAGCCCGTAGGTCCGATCACACCATGACCTCTAGTTAACATTCATGCTATGAAACCAGCAGTGCTCGTGATATGTAATCAGAGAGCACTTTGTTTTTGTCTCACCTGTCTCTCACTGTTTCTTTAAACCTGTTCCATAGGAAAAACGTTTTTTCCTTAGCCCTCCAAATATGAGCATCATGTTTTTTGAGGGTCGCTTTAAGGGAGTCAACACCGCTTCAAAAGACGTCTTATTGTTTGTTTAAAACACCAGCTCAACCTAAGTCTGGTCATTGGGCATGCTCCCTGGCCCCTGCCCCCGGCCCATGACAGGGAGATTTCAAACAGGCAGGGGACACTGGGGCAGCTTCTTCCTGGCTCCTCTCTGTGCATACTCAGCCCTGTCCCTGGCCTTGGCGCAGTCAGGGAAGGAGGCTGTCGGGAGTTCTTATTGGACGAGTGGTGTCTCTTGACTTGACTGAAGTGGACAGCAGACCTTGGAAAGTTTCATTGTTCTGTGGATACTGCCCAGCTGGGGGCTCCCCGCCCCAATTTCATGGCCACAGGCACTGGTCTGCTGGCTGTTCCCGGTGCCCTTTCCTCAGCTCCTGTCCCCGGAAGTCTACACTCCACCTCATGCACTTTCTTCACCTGCTAGAAGACCCCGAATTTAAGTACATGAAGAAATTTTCACTATTGGCTGTCAGTTGTCAGTAGGTCCTGTGCACCGTGACTCTCCTTACAACCAAATGAAACGACAGCTGGCTGCAGCACCCTCAGTTATTGCTGTGCTTATTTAAAAAGTCGTGGGGCCAATCCATCTCCTTGAGGTCTTCTTCCAAGGAGCGCCCTCTGCTGATAGGATGTCCAAAGTCCACGAAACAAAGTCTCCTCATCCTCCCTTCGAAGGAGCCTTCTGGCTGTGTACTGGCAGGCAGTCCATGGGACTTCCCTTGTTCTTGGCCAGCACTGTCAGTCAAGGGCATCCGTTCTCTTGTCTTCTTAGCCCAGCTGTGACATGCCTATGAGTGAAAGTGAAAACGCCATGGCTCAGGGCAGGTGCAAGTGACACCCTTGCTATTTAACACTTTAAAGAGGGTTCATGCAGCAGATTCACCCAGTGCAGTGCATCATTCGCTTTCTTGACTGCTTTCCTGAACACTGAGTGGGTCCAAGTAATTTGAAACGTCAATCTTGTTGCTGTTTATCACGATGTTGTCTACTGGTCCAGTTGTGAGGATTTCTGCAGTGTATACTGAGAGCTCTCATCTTTGTTCATTGGGAAGTGCTTCAGGTCATCTTGTCTTCCAACAAGCAAGGTTGTGTCACCTGCATATGTCAGGCTGCGGCTGCTGCTGCTGAGCGGCTCTTGAATCCTGATTCCACTTTCACTTTCAGAGAGTCCAGTTTCCTGGCTTGTTTGCTCGGGATAGGGATTGTGTAAGTACGGTGAAAAGGTACAAGCCTACCGCACACTTTCCCTGATTTCCACCCATGCAGGAGTTCCTGGTTCCCTTTCAAAAGCTGCTTTTTTGTCTCGTTCGGGTTCAGCATGAGCACACCGACATGCTCTGGAATCCCCACTCTTCGAGATACTGTCCAGTTTGTTATGATCCACAGAGTAAATGCCTTTGCATACTTCATGAAACACAGACATCTCTCTCTGTGTAGTCTCTGTTTGCAGCCAAGAGCCATCTGATGGCAGCAATATTTCTCATTCCTTATCTTCTTCTGATTCTGACTTGAATTTGTAGCATCGCCCTGTTGATGTACTGCCGCACCTGTGTTTGGAATTGGCTTCCGCAGATGTTCACTTGTGCTATTCCTGATACATGTAATGATGTGTTGTGACTGATGCCGTTGACGCTTTCAGCATTCTTTGGAATGGGCACAGGTGGGACTCTCTTTTAGTAGGTCGGCCAGGTAGTTAGCTGTCTTCCAAATTTCTTGGCATAGATGAGTGAGGGCTTACATTATTGCATTCAAAATTTGTTTTAATGGATATTGTGAATTTGATTTCAGCAAATGGCTTCAGTGGGGCTGGATCGTCTTCCTTTAATACCATTGGCTCTTGATCATATGCTACCTCTTGAAATAGTTGAATGTTAACCAATTCTTCTTTGAACATTGGCTTGGTATATTTCTATAATCTGTTTTTGATGCTTGCTGCATCACTCAGTATTTTGCCCAGACGTCGCTTCAGTATTTCAAATTTGAGGTTTGAATTTTTTTTCTTCAGTTCTTTCAGCTTGAGATAATCCGAAGAAGGCTCCAGGTATTTTCACATCTCATTATAATGCTTGGCTGTATCTTCTGGGGCTGCCTGTTGAAAATTTCTATTGAGTTATTTTACTTCATAATTCTTCCATTTGCTTTACCTATTTTACATTCAAAAGGTTTCAGAATCTCTTCTGACATACACTTTGGTCTTTTCTTTCTTTCCTGTCTTTTTAATGACCTTTTATTACTCTATTCATGTATCATGTTCTTTTTTTTTAAAAAATCATTTTATTGGGGGTTCTTAGCACAACGCATCCATGCATCCATGGTGTCAAGCACATTTGATGTACAATGCTCTTGATGGCCCCTCCAGCTCATCTGGTAGCGTTCAGTGCTTCATACCTATTCTCGAGGTGGTCTCTAAGTTCAGGACATTGATGCTCAGTCAATGTCCCTTGGTCCTTGTGGACTTACTTGTTTTCATTTTCTTAAACTTCAACCTGAGCTTGCGTACAAACAATTGTCGATTGTTGTGGTTGATGTTGAGCTTCTCCATTGTCTTGTCTCATAGATGCAGTGAATTTTTATATTCTCTATCTGGTGAGGTCTGTGCGTATTGTTGCTGTGGATGCTGTTGAGGAAAGGGAGGGGTCTAGTTTAATTTCTGTCACCAAGCCTGTATTTTTCAACTATAGATCCTTCCTTGTTTTCATCCTTTGCATTCCAATTGCCAATAATTATCGATGCCTCTTGATTGCAAGTTTTAATTAATTTCAGATGGAACATGTTGGTAGAGTTCTTCAATTTCTTCATCACTAGCTTTAGTGGTTGGTGACTAATTTTGAATAATAGTTCATATTAACTGGTATTCCTGGTAAGCATGTAGATCAGACAATATTGCACATCAACATAAATCTCAAAATGTTCTTTTTGATGTTGGATGCATTTGTCATTCCTGGAAGAGCAAATTATACAATTGTCCAAGTCAAAATGATTAATGCCAGTCTATTTCAGCTTACTTGTACCTAAGGTATCAATATTTATCCATTCCATTGATGACAAATTGCAATTTTCCTAGCCTGATAATTCATGCCTTCCACATTCTAATTAGTAATGGATATTTGCAGCTGTTTCTTTTCATTTTGAGTTGTACCCCCACAGCAGGTGATTCCAAAAGTTTTGCTCCATCCACATCGTTGAGGTATACTCTGTGTCGACATGTCACTTCCCCCCCAGACATATTCTGGGTGTCTTACAACCTGAGGGGCGCATCTTTCATGTTCCTTTGATGGACAGCCTATTCCTTCTTTCTGGTCTGTTCTTAGTCTGGAAGCTCTGCTGATACCTGGTTGCCATGGGTGACTAGTGTTTGAAATACCAGTGGCATAAGAGTCCAGCATCATAGTAACACACAAGCCACCAGACAAGCGTTGGTCATGTGTCACTAAGAAATTGCAAATCAAAACCATACCACAACACGCTCCATTAGAAAGGCTGCAGCCGACAACACTGAGCGCGTCACATGCTGGTGAAGATGGGGAGCAACAGGAGCTCTTGCTCGTGGGTGGTGGGAGTGAAAGTGGGAAAACCACTTTGGAAAACAAATTTGGAAATGCCCTGAAAAGCCACATACCATCTTTTCGTATGACCCAGCAATGGCGCTCCTAGGTATTTACCCAAATGAGTTGCAAACCTTTATCTGTCGAAAAACCTGCACGTATATGTCTATAGCCGCTTTTCTCATAATTTACTCATCATCGTCAAAACCTGAATGAACCAAGATGTCCTTCAAGATGAACTGTGGCATATGCGTCTAGTGGAATGTGACCCTGTCATAAACACGGGGTACCTTAAAGGCGTTTTGCTAACTGAAAGGAAAACACAAGAACCCAGCTCACCGCCCTCAAGTCAACGCTGACTCGCATGGACACCCCCGTGGGTTTCTGAGACTAACTTTTCTAGGGAGTAGAACGCCCAGTCTTTCTCCCGAGGAGCCGCTGGTGATTTTGAACTGCCGCCTATGGGCTCGCAGCCCAACACCTAACCACCGCACCAAAGAGCCATTCTCAAAAGAAGAGCTGCTGCTTGGTGCCCACCACGAGACATTGTGGACAAGGCAGGACCACAGCAGCCGTGAAAAGCTCAGGGTCCCCCGGCTCCTTGGGAAGAGGAGGGTTGAGTAAGTGGAGCATTTTCGGGGCCTTGAAACCAGCCTGGATGATACTGTCATGGGGGACACGCGACAGCTTGGTTTGTGTCAACCCTCAGGACCATTTGACACAAATGGCGATCCCTCATGTCAACCATGGGCCCGGTGACAGTGCATTGGGAGGGATTCCTCGCTGTACAGACTTACCACAAGAACACAGCACGCCTGGTGTGCAGAATGGGGAGGTGGTATAGGGACCTGTCTGTACAGAGTTCCTGAGAAAATTGTATGTAAATCTAAAACTGCTCTCCAAAATATGAAGTGCATTAAAGCGTGCTGGGCCGACTGTGCTGTGTGCGCCTCCTGGGTCCCGTGGACCCCGGAGTCGGCTCTCCGTCTACCCTCCACTGTGCACTTGGGCTGTGGCAGCTCTCTCAGCCAACCTGGCACCATGACCAGCAGCTCAGAAGACACAGGGAAGCCCCAGCTGTGGCCTCAGGAGGCGGCACTGCCCGCACCTCTGCTTGGAGGCACAGGGGGCTTTTTTTTTGTATTTTTTTAGCACAGGCGTTCCCAGGGAAGCCTCCCCAAAGCCATTCTCTTTGCACTTCTCTGTATTCACCACGTGTCTGTGGCCAAGCACTTCCAGGCCCCTGGTTCTCACACGCACGCCCTGGAAACGTGGCCTCTCCTGTCCTCATGATTTGACTAGAAAACGGCGGGGCGGGAAGATGGCTTTTAACAACTTGTTGCAGTTCAGGCCCGTGTCACTGCCCATTTCATTTGGGCAGCGGAGTAGTGTTCCAAGCAGCAGCTCCATGCCCAACCCCAGGCTGGGCATCATGGCTCAGCTGCCCCCATTGGCTGCTAGGCACACTCCCTCCCCTCCATCTGTAAAATGGAGATTTAGAGGAAAACACCCACCTCACAGGGTTTGTGGGATGGAGCAATGCACTGGAAGCGCTTTGACTAGTGTCCGGGACATATTAAGCATTTATTTTTTAATTTTTAATCACCTTGGGAAGGGAAAAAGATAAGTCCCTTGCCTTTCAAAGTTGAAGCACACCTAACACATTGGAGGTGTTGTTTCTCTGGCTTTTCCCTCCCCGTCTTGGTGTATCATATGAAACGCATGCATGTCAAGGGTGCCCTATCACCGAGTGTCATGGACACACAGGACATAGAGCAGGATTCGGCAAACTAGCCCACCGCCTGCTTTGGCAAGTCGAGCTTGGCTGCCTTGCGCACGCCTCTGGCTGCTGTCATGTCACAAAGGCAGGGCTGAGGAGCCTCTGTGACCGAGCCCAGGCCACCCGATGCCTAAACTGCTCCCTGGCCTCTCCCAGACAATGCTTCCCCGACACCGACGCTGGACCATTTCCACCACCGCTGGAAGTGCCCACGGGGGTTCCCAGTGTTTGCTCATGGGCTCAGTACTCTCTTCTCTCTGGCAGAGTTGCTGGTGTTGAACGGTTCCGATCCGGTGGCAGAAGTTGCCATCCGACAGCTCAGCGAATCTTCGAAACTGAAGCTCAAGTCCCCTCGGAAGAAAAGCACCATCATTATCTCCGGGATTTCCAAGGTACAGGCGAGGTGGCCCGAGACGGGGGTGGGTTCTCGGGACTGACCCGCGTCTTCCCCCTTGATGGGCTCCAGTCCAAGTGCTCGGTCACTCTCCCGAAAGTCGCATTGACAGCAGGACAAAGGCTGTCCTTCACCCGGCAAGGGGCTGCTGCCTGGAGCCGCACTTACACGCAGCCTGTCCTGTGGGTGAGGGCCACCGGAGCGGTTCTGCCCAGAGAGGCTGCAGTAGTAGAGAGGGGCATGAGTCATTTGCAGAGAAGTGACTGAACCAGAAAGAAACTTGTGGCGCAGCCCTCCCCGTTAGCACCCAACCTCCACCCTGTGGCGGGAGACGGGCACGACACTCCACATTGCCAGAGCGTCGCTTTACTTTGGGGGGCGGCGGTGGACATGAAGGTTTATTGCTTTTGTAAGTGGAGAGAAACAAGGGCTGCTTTGAAGCCCAGTCCCTTCCCCTCTCCTGCCCTGTGCCCAGAGTGATAGTGGGTAGGAGCCTAGCTCAGGTGGCAGCCAGGCACCCCCAAGGGAAGCCGCCTGGCTGTTTGTTGACATTTCAAAATGAACAGGTGCAGGAGTGTGGGGCGAGATTTTGATTTGGAGCGAGAGGGACTGAGGAGGAAGAAGGGCTTTGCACTCAGAGGTGGATTAGATGTTGAAAGGCTAGCTGGCGCACCGAAGGGCAGTTGGAGAGTAAAGCTAGTGACTCCCTGGGTGCACTTCCACTCGTGGCCAGCAGGGGGCGGGGCGATGATCCCTGGGAAGATCCCTGCCCTTTGGTTTAGTTTCCCGAGGCCTAGTAGCTACATGAGCCATCCTGGTGGCACATGGGTTAGCGCTCTGCTGCTAACTGAAATATTGACAGTCCTGGCCCACGTCCGTCCGACTCCATGGGGGGAAAGATCTGGAAAGCCTGTGGGGCAGTTCTCCTCGGTGCAAAGCTGACTCCACTGCAACACAGCAAGCTGGAGTCTGTGGGTGGTACCAACGGTTGATAGGCTCACTGCTAATGAACTGCCAGGCCGGCAGTTCAAGTCCAGGCGATCTACTTCCCGGAGCACAGATCTACCCTGACGCATGGGCTCCTGGGGGCGCCGAAGAGTTGGAGCCGACTGAATGGCAAGTGCCACTTGTCCCTCCATCACGGTTTTGATTGGTTTCATTTTGTTAGGAACTTAAGGATCTCGACATTTAATGTATTGGGTCTGTGGTTGTGGGGTGGACTAGAGAAACAAATTCATAAACACACACGTATGTATAAGAAAGAGCTTTCTATACAAGAGCAATTGACTATTGAGAAAACACCCCAGCCCAGTCCAGATCAAGTCCATAAGTCCGATAGTAGCCCATCTGTCCAATGCCAATGGTGGACCCTGTGTGTGTCCGAGTGGAATGGAGCCCAGCAGGGTGGTTTGTGGCTGGCCTTGGGACTCAAACGGGAATCCAACCTCCACCCTCTGGGTTAGGAGCTGAGTGTGGTAACTGTGTGTGTCGCTCCCTGGATACGGAGCTGCCCTTCTAGGGAGGTCCGGGGAACGGCTGGTTAGACTCACACTATGAATGGTGCTGCTAGTGGCCTCACCCCTGCCCTCCTCCCACAGACCTCCTTGTCTCAGGACAGCGAAGCCACCCTGATGCTGGACTATGCCGCCTCCATGGACTGCGAGCATCCGGAGGAGGCCCCATCCCATCCAGGGGACGCCATCGCCACCACCCCTACCCCCACCCTGCTCGAGGAAGACCCACCTGCCCAGGCCCCGCTCGCCCATGAGCCCCAGGAGAACGAACTTGACTCCTGGGACTTAGAGAAGGAGTCCAAGGACGCAGGGTGGGGTGGCCACGACCTGCTGGACCCAGATGGGGACGAGCTGTCGGAAAGTTCTCTGACCGCCTCAGAGCCGGGTGCCTCCAAAAAGCACAAAGGTACCTTCCCGCGCTGCATGCTTGGCACCTGCATGCTCAGGCCCCTGTCCACACTGTCTTTTAGCTCTGGTCACCTGTTGCTTTTCCCTGTTCCCTAGAAACACCCTCCCACCCTCCCCTCCATACCAAACACCCTGTGCTGAACGAGGGAGCCCACGTAGAGCCTGGGGTGCTGGACTGGTCTGCCCCTGGAGTGGCAGCATATTCAGAATCTCCCCTGAATGGGAGGCCTCGGTCCTTCCTTGACCTTTGGGGGCTGGCTCGTGTTTCCCCCAACATTGATTTTAGCTGCTGTGGACTTGATGCTGACTCTCAGCAGCCCCGCGTGACAGAGTAGAACTCTTCGGAGCATTTTCTAGGCTCTTCTGTGTATGGGGGCAGATGAGCAGGTGCATGGCTTTGAACCACCAACCTTCATTTAGCAGCCAAGTGTCTACCTGTGGTGCCACCAGCTGTTTCTGCTTCTCACAGCCTCCAAGTCAGTTCTGACTCACAACGACCCTACACAACAGAGTAGAACTGCCCCTGTGGGTCTCGAGACAGTAACTCCTGATGGGAACAGAAAGCCTAGTCTCCCTCCCAAGGAGCAGCTGGGGTTTTCAAACTGCTGACCTTGCGGCTTGCAGCCCAACTCGTAACCGCTGTGCCACCAGGGTTCCAACCATTTTCTGCCTAGAGGTGCCCTTTCCTCTGACTCCCCAGGCCCCACCCAGGACTAGATCTAGTCAAGGCCTTTAGAGGGCATCATCCTATATGGGAGTCCCTGGGTGGTGCAAATGTGAATGCAGTGGACTGCCGACCAGAAAAGGTTGCAGGTTCGAGTCTACCCAGGGGCACCTCGGAAGAAAGGCCTGGTGTCTTGCTTCCCCGAGACCAGCCATTGAAAACCCCGTGGAGCCCAGCTTTACTATGATGCTCATGCTGTCACCAGGAAGCGGGTGGGGACTTTGATCCCCTGAGAATTGGCACCGAACCAGAGTCAGAGTACAGTTTCACAGGATCCCTGGGTGGTTCTTGTTGAAATCTTGTGGAAATACAAGTTCTCCCTCAGTACATCTGGGGTAGAAGTGTAGATCCTCAGCAGAGGGTGGGAGGGGACTGCAGCCCTGGTTGGAGTCACCTTGAGCAATCTGGTGGCTGGCTCATCGTAGGCGAAGAGCAGAGCAGAGGAGAGGAGTGGGTTTCTCTCGCCGCAGCACCTGCTGCTCCCTCCATGGTGCCTCTCTGCCTCCCTGTCCCTCTGAACACCAAGCACCGCCTCACGGTGGATCATCCTAAGGGGGCTGTTAGCCAGTCCCCAGCAGAACCCATCGATCACCGTAGTGTGTATCAGCAATGAGGTGATCCTTTCGGTGTCCGCCTGCTTTCTGTTGGCACGGGATCAGTGCTTCAGGCTTGTCCGTTCCCCCTGCTCAAGCAGTCCCCACCTCCTGCCCCCCGCCACACACTGCTGCACGCCTAAAGGCAGCGTCCGGACATCTGCTGAAGAAGAGTAGTCCAGCAGCTGTTGGACACGTGGATCTCTGTTCGAGACTGATCTCCTGAGCCTCCTCATTGGTAAAGTGGGCGCAGTGCCCACCTCCCAACGCCATCAGCCCAGCCCCCAAAGACCTGCAGGAGCTCAGTTGCACTCTGAAGCCAGGAGTCTGAAACCAGGAGGCAGTCACACAGAAGGAGCAGGGCAGGGGAAGCAGGTGCTACACTCAGCACCAGCCCGCCCTCTCCCTCCTACTTGGGGTCCCAAGGGACCCCTGCTTCCCAGCGGTTCAATACTTTCTGAGGGGAGTCTTGAGCACTGAGTGAGGAGAGCTTGGGCACCACAGTTAGTAGAGGGGTGGGGTTCAGGTACCTGAATTACAGAATCAGAAAGTCTCCGGCACTGAGTAGGGGGCTAGTCTTTCTTAGGCACTCTGAGTTAGGGGGTCTCAGGCATTGCTTTTGTGAGGAAGTCATGGCCACGGGGTATATAAATTGTGGCCCAGTCACTGACCACTGTCCCACAAGCACACCTCTAGAGCGACAAGTGACATTGGAGGGAGAGGAGCTGAGGAAGGCAGGTGAGTACCAGGCATGGTGGAAACATGGGGGGGGGGGGGCTCTCCTCCTCTCGCCCTTCTCACCAGATGGTTCACTTCTTCAGGCAGAATTCACACATCCCCGCCCACCCTCTTCCCCAAACACCAGACCTGGCTCACCCAAGTCCATCCAGAGCCCAGCGCTCACTTCCTTCTCCCTCCGTCTCCCTCGGAAAGCTCTGTGCCTTGAGGTCCTCGCTGCTTGCTGTTTGTGGCTGCCCTGGTCTTGCCCTTCGCTGGCCAGTGGGGAGGTGCCCTGAGTAGTGGGACTGGGTTGATGCTCAGCTACTGACCAAAAGACTGGCTGGTGGGTCCTATCCAGTGGCACTGCAGAAGAAAGGCCTGGGTACCTGGTTCCCTAAAGATACAGGACCTTCTGTGCTCTGTGATAGCATATGGGGGTAGCCGGGAGTCAGAATCCACACAGTAGCGGGCTTGGTTTTGGATTGGTTTGGCCAGGTGGGTGGACCCACCCCACCCCTATCAAGTCAGCAGGAACTCAAGCAACAGAGTAGAACTGCCATCAAAGGGTTTCCAAGGGCTGGCTCTTTACAGAAGCAGCTGCCGCGCTCTCTCCCTTGGATCGGCCCAGGCGGGGAGGGGAGCCCCAACTGCCACCCTTTGGGCTGGCAGCTGAGCACTTCAGCCAGTGCATCACCTGAGAAACTGACTAGCGCCAGGCTGGCGTGCCTGGGACCACATCCTGCACGAGCCTCCAGACGTTCCACCCGCAGAGCCAGGCTCTGGATATGTGGCCTGTCGCTCTCACCAGCATGGCTTTTCACGGGATGTATTTGGCAGCGTTTTTGGAAGTGCTTTCTCACAGGGGGGCTTTCGAGCATTTGTGCTCAGTGTCTAGTGACCTCGGACTTGGAGACAGGGACGTGTCATGGCATCAAACGGTTCTCACTGTGCAAACAAAACTTGCCAGGAGCTCCTGCTACAGGAAGCGGCATAGTGATGTTTTCTTTTTTAAATGAATGCTGATGATATACATACCTGTGTATGCCTTCTGTTGGAATGAGGGATTTGTTCCCAGGAGCCCAAGAGCACCAGTTAACACGTTCAAAGTCCTCCTGGGAGTTTGCCGATTGTCGGCGCACATCTTGGGGCACCACCTCCAACACTGGCGATCCATCTCCGTGTTCAGGGGTGCCCACAGCCTGAAAGGGGGTGGATGGAGGTTTAGAAAAGATCCAGAGCCGCTGCCAAATGCCCTGCATGGTGGCGTCGTGGCTGCGAATCGTGGGAGGGGTTCCCCTCTGACTGTCCTTCATTCTCATTTCACTCTCGCATATTTTCCTTTTTGCCGCTTCCTGTTCTGGTTCCACCTCACGCCCACCCCCTTTGCTTACTTAGAGGACCGCATTGCCAACCAGAATTAAATGCCTCCACAGTAAGTTACTTTGTCTTATCTATACGTACACAGAGAAGTTCTCTTTTAAATGAACTCCATCTTAGTGGAAATCTACCCAGCTCAAGGTGTGCCATGCCCACAGGTCCTGCCTGTGTAATTCACTGCCATGGGGGAACTGCCCCCCATGCTGTCGTTCTCCCTCTCTTGCAAAGGGTCCCACCACCTGACATCCCTTCACCTGACGGCTCCCCTAGTGGCCCGTCCAACCACTGCAGCTGGCATTGTCGATTGCATTCTGCCTGGAACATTCTGCCAGGAGCCCTGGGGCCGCGATGCAGATAGCTGCAAGGTCCACAGGTGGAAACCCCAGCGCCTCTGTGAGGGAAAAGACAGGCTCTCTACGCCCATAAAGAGACCCACGAGGGTGGTTCTGCCCTGTCCTATGGGCTGCTGTGAGTCTGAATTGACTCGATGGTAGTGGTGAGATCATTCCTTAAGGGAGCCTAGTGCTCAAACACACTCACTTTGATTGTGAATGGACTTTAATGACAAAAGATGTTAGGGACCAGTGTCTGAGGTTTAAATGCGACCTCAGGGTAATCACTATATTTTTACATGAGGTAAGCATGTGCTATAACGGAGAGGGAACGGGAGAAGCGTGTGCTATTATGGAAAGAAGCGTGTGCTATCACAGAGAGAAGCGTGTGCTATAACGGAGAGGGAACGGGAGAAGCGTGTGCTATCACAGAGAGAAGCGTGTGCTATAACAGAGAGGGAATGAGAAGCATGTGCTATAATAGGGGATGGGAGAAGTGTGTGCTATCATGGCGAATGAGAAGCGTGTGCTATAACGGAGAGGGAGTGAGAAGCGTGTACTATAATGGAGAGGGAATGGAAGAAGTGTGTGCTATCATGGAGAGAGAATGAGAAGCGTGTGCTATAACGGAGAGGGAATGGGAGAAGCATGTGCTATAATGGAGAGAAGCGTGTGCTATAACAGAGAGGGAGTGAGAAGCGTGTACTATAATGGAGAGGGAATGGAAGAAGCGTGTGCTATCATGGAGAGAGAATGAGAAGCGTGTGCTATAATGGAGAGGGAGTGAGAAGCGTGTACTATAATGGAGAGGGAATGGGAGAAGCATGTGCTATAACGGAGAGAAGCGTGTGCTATCATGGAGAGAGAATGAGAAGCGTGTGCTATAACGGAGAGGGAGTGAGAAGCGTGTACTATAATGGAGAGGGAATGGGAGAAGCATGTGCTATAATGGAGAGAAGCGTGTGCTATAATGGAGAGAGAATGAGAAGCGTGTGCTATAACGGGAGAGGGAATGGAAGAAGCGTGTGCTATCATGGAGAGAAGCATGTGCTATAACAGAGAGAATGAGAAGCATGTGCTATAATAGGGAATGGGAGAAGCGTGTGCTACAACGGAGAGGGAATAGGAGAAGCGTGTGCTACAACGGAGAGGGAATGGGAGAAGCGTGTGCTACAATGGAGAGGGAATGGGAGAAGCGTGTGCTACAACGGAGAGGGAATGGGAGAAGCGTGTGCTGTAACGGAGAGGAAAG